CCCCAAAACCCCAAAACCCCAAAACCCCATAATGGATAATAAGATCTGAATTTTCTAGAAATCTTTAACAATAATCTAATTGATCTTAAGCTAAGTTATATCTCTAGTGAGAGTAATAAAATTCTAATTTCTAATTTTCCTTCAATCCCATTCACAACTCTAGCTTTTGCTTGCTGTTTGGATCCTTTTTATTAGCCTCCTTCCATTTTTCCTTCTCTTCCTTTTTAGCGTATTTCCCAAAGTATCTTTTGTTGTCAGTCTCAACGGCTAATATGTATTCCTTAGCTAGCAAAAACTCTCTCATTCTCTGTCTTTCAGCAGCATCGTTACACAACATCCAAACATATCTTTCCTCTCTCATGTTGAAATTCTAATAAGTGATTTCCTCTTCTGCCAGTTGTTCTTCGACCTCAGCTGAAATGTCTAAAATGCCCTTTTTCTTAAGATGCTTATCGCGGAAATGTACTTTTACAATAACGCCCTTCAAGCCATCAATGTTGAATCTCTGTCCTCCGTTTTTGCCAGAGATATCAATAGATTCCATTTTAATCTCCTTTGGGTCTATGCTTCTTAGCTTGATGGTATCCTCTTGTAAGGTCTGTGATAAGTATGATACCAATAGGAATAGAAGTATTTACATTGACTTTCTTGTTAATTTTGACATTAATCTTAATATTATAATTTTAAATAATAAAAAGGGTCATCCTACTCTAACAGAATAGAAGCTTGTAAAGGACACGTAATTATTTCTAAGTATAAATAATGAGCAACTCAGATAACAATTAATAATCAAACTCACAAGAGTTAAAATAAAAATTACTCGATCAAGAAGCGATTAACTAATATTCTAAACCTCAAGAAATGGGACTAGATAATCAAAATTCAAATTAGATCTACCCTATTCAATAGCATGAATAGAGTTAGGATTTCAATATCAATCAATCTCTAAGAGAGACGACGAAATCTAACATAACACCGAATGATAGCTAAAAACCTAATGGCAAATTCGGTCAAAGTTGGGAAAACTCAAATGACAACACAGGAATTTTTAAAGAAGAACACAAACAAAACGAGAAAGATAATCTTATAACTCCATATAAAAAGTAGGCTTAAAATGATTAACCACATAATGATCAACCGCCAGTTTCCAAAAAAGATGTAGATCAGCCGGCTAAACCAGTTAATCCAACCAAGAAGCTAATGAAGTATATGAAGAATGAAAGATGGCTCTTTTTTTGGAGTACTATTGCCCTAGTGCTAGGAAATGCGGGTCAATTCGCAGTACCGTACTATATTGGTCTTTTCGTTGACAACATGAAAGACGAAAAATTCGATGATATTCCTAGTCTTTGCTATCAATTGGTTGGCATTATCTTTGTAATCATTTAATAGTCTCATAATAAATATATCTAGTTCTCCTCAATAGCAGTGTTTTACAGAGGGATGTACTACAGCGTGATCAGTGAGAAAATTGCCAGAAATCTAAGGCAGGATCTCTATGAAAGTTTGGTTAACAAAGATGTTGAGTTTTTTGACAGTCGCAAAACTGGAGACTTATGTAAGGATATGAATTATATTATAATCAATAACTTAAATACGTTATAGTAAGTAGAATTGGATCTGATACTGCTGTTATTCAAGAAGGATTGTCGACTAATGTATCGATGTTTTTGAGATCATTCATTTTCATCATAGTTTCATTCATTTTCCTCTTTATTCTTTCATGGCAATTAACTTTGGCCATGATAGCATCTATCATGCCTGTTATACTATTCAGTGTTTTCTATGGAAACATGATGAAGAATGCTTAGAAGCATATTCAAGATGGTAAAGCTTATATTTCAACTTTAGCTGAAGAGACTTTTTCAAATATCAGAACTGTCAAAGGTAAGTGTTTTTTTTCCGCTAGTTTTAAAAATTAATGACGTGTCCACTCTATTAAAAAAAAACTTATATTCAATTATAACTTAAATTTAGCGTTTGCCACTGAAAAAGAAGAAACTCTTAGATACTCCAAAGGAAATGATACTGTATACAAATATGGGTACTATAAGTCTTTCTGGTATGGCATCTTTAACTTCTTCGCCAACTTCTTCGTTTTCGGGTCCATGGCAGTTATCGTTGGACTAGGCTCAAAATTATACTAAGACGGAGAAATAACAATTGGGGAAATCACAGCTTTCTTATTTTACATGATGCAGATTCTTATGAATTTTATGATTCTTGCCTCAGTTTTAGGTTCAGTTATGAGTGTAAGAATTCTATGTCTAACTAATTTCATAGATTATTGGAGCTTCAGTCAAAATTGTTGAAATTCTTGAATATATACCTAAAATCAATACCTCAGGTGGAAATAAAATTGAAGGATAAATAATTGGTGAGGTCACCATTAGAGATGTTAAATTCCATTATCCAACAAAGAAGGACGTCTAAGTATTGAAAGGCGTCACAATTGACATAAAGAAAAATAGAGTTGTTGCATTGGTAGGACCAAGTGGGTGTGGAAAATCAAGTTTGATATCAATGATTGAGCGATTCTATGACCCAATCGAAGGAGTTGTAGAGTTTGATGGCGTAGATGTTAAAACTTTAGACCCTAAATGGTATCACTCTCAAGTCGCAATTGTTCAACAAGAACCTGTGCTCTTCTCTGGCTCCATTAAGGAAAATATTGGCTATGGACTTCCAGAAGATTAGGTAACTGAGGAAACCTTAGATTGGGCTTGCAAGCAGGCAAACGCTTATGAATTCATTCACGACAAGGACTTGTTCCCTGAGGGATACAGCACTATTGTAGGAGAGAGAGGTGTTAAACTCTCTGGAGGTTAAAAGCAAAGAATCGCTATTGCTAGAGCTCTGATAAGGAAACCAAAGATTCTATTACTGGATGAAGCCACTAGTGGTAAGTATCATATTAATTAAATCTTTTTATATAGCCTTGGATGCTGAGAGTGAGCATCAAGTATAAAAGGCTCTAGATGAGTTGATTAAGAGTGGAGAACAAACCATTATTGTGATTGCTCATAGACTAAGCACCATAAGAGATGCTGATGAGATTATTGTCATTAGAAAAGGAGAAGTTGCGGAGAGAGGCAGTCATGAAGAGCTATTAAAGAAAGGCGGAGTCTACAAAAGCTTAGTTGAGAGACAGCTTATGTCCATGCAACTAGAAGAAAAATGAATATTCTCGCCTAACTGATTTCAAATAAGATTATGATTTCGTAACGAATTATATAAAAATATTAATAATTTGGTTAATAATTTCATTAAATTCATTAATTTTTTTATTTCTTTTTTTAATTAAATCTTTTTTATTTGGGGTTTTGGGGTTTTGGGGTTTTGGGG